AACGGCAGCATCGGTTCCCTGATTGTCAAACGCAGAATGCAAGTTCACGCTGTATATTGTATCCAACTGTCCTGACTGGATGTTTGACTCGACAGTCTGGCCTCCTAAAGTTAATCACTGATGACCAACTGTTCCAACATCTCTGCACATTGATTCCTGTCTGCTCTGCCATCTGATTCACCACATCCAGGTTGCGCCCCAAGCAAGGGGACGACGCGACCCAAGGCCACATGGAGCAAGGAGATCCTTCCAACACTCGCTCGGCAACTCCATGGGGGAACCCCGACACGTGATCATCGAATGGGATGTCTGCAATCGCCTCTACTTCCAAACGCAGAGCATCAGGCCACGGACCTCCTGCATTCGGCAGCGCCAGCACTGCATCTCGAAGTGGCGAGTCGGGGCCCAAGAACTTCAAGGTCAGAGGGCGGTGAAGTGCACGATCTGTCGATTCAAACTGTCTCAGCGCCGGCTCCTTGACCCCAGGCCCCCCAAGGCGAGCAGACAAATATGGCACCGTATTCATGTAATCGAGCTTCCTGGGCCCGAGCGTGCAGACCATGCGAACAGATCCCGTGCACTGCTGAAGCAAAGGCTGATCACCCCCGAAGGTGGGCGCTGTCCAAGCCTCAGCCTCCTCCAATGCCTCCTGGGACGTGCTGCTACTATTGCGACTGATCGCGCATGCCGAAAACAGCGCATGGAGGGAGTGTGCGTGTGTGTGTGTGTGTGCGTGTGTGTGTGGGTGCGTGCGTGTGCGGGTGTGTGTGTGTGTGCGTGTGTGTGTGTGTGTGCGTGCGTGTGTGCGCGCGTATGCGTGTGTGCGTGCGTGCGTGCGTGCGCGTGTGTGTGTGTGTGCGTGTGTGCGCGTGTGCGTGTGTGTATGTGTGTGTGCGTGCGTGTGCGTGCGTGTGTGCGCGTGTGTGTGCGTGTGCGCGTGTGCGCGTGCGTGCGCGCGCGCGCGTGTGCGTGCGCGTGCGTGCGTGGTGGGGTGGGGGGGGGGGGCTTGACATGCAAAACCTGACCCCTCGGATTTCTGCTCTACCTGATTGGGAACGCCATCCCGGAAAACTTCAAGATTGCACGCCCACTCCGAGGTTCCCTCGGCGCCCCCCCCCCCCCCCCCGCTAAAGATGTTTGAAACGCTGTTTTCGGTCGCGCTGACGCTGGTCGATTGACGCATCCGCGACGTCAACGACATTAAATGCCCTTGCCCCCTCCCACAGGCGACGACGAGGGCGGGCGCTGCGTGGGATACACAGCGGGGAAAAGATGAATCAGAGAACGAGGACAGAGGACGATGAGAAGCAAAAGCGGGAAAACGGGGGGGGGGAGACAAATGCGAAGGAGATCGCATGCGCCGCGGCAGCGGCAGCACGAGCGGCCCTGGAACGAAGATTGCGCCTTGCCGTAGGCGCAAGGAAGAAGTCTGCCCTTTCTCTTGCACTCGACTGAGCCCCCTCGGCCTAGCGACAAATACAAGCCCCGCCGCGCGACTGCAAATGAGCCGACCATTCCACGAGCCACGCAGTGAACGAGAAGAGATCCACCCATCGTTGGTCATCCATCGCCCGTCGAATCATCCTGATCAACGAAGTGTCCCTGACTTTCTTGAGGAATGACATGCGCCCCCAATGTCTATGCAATATGCCGATGACTCCCTTGAGAGATCTGCGCACTTTGCGGGGCGCACCCCACCGCCGCTGCGCGACGTATGGTCAAGATAACGCGTCTACGATCTCAGCGGCAGCTGACAAACCAGCCCCCCTCAAGTTCCCGACGATCTCAACGATGTACTGCCGCAAGAACGCGAGTGCACTTTTGACGCCGTCCAACCATCGCGGGAACCAGTCCATGCTACACGAAGCCCTCCGAATGAGCGCGTCAAAGATGTGCGTCCAACCTGGCGCCTGCACTGCATATGGGAACGAACGCGTCTGCGTTGGCATGCCTCGTGGTACTCCCACGCCCACGCGCTTGCAGAATGCTGGTAAGATGTCTTTCGCATTGCCGAACAACCTCTCAGCGCCCATATCCGACGCCACCGATGCGACCCGTGCCAACATCTGCCTGAGCGGTACAAATGACGGGCCCGCAGTACAAACTCCCATAGCAACGCCGACATCCTTCCGCACAGGCTGAGGTGCTGACCACCAATGCGGACGACTGGCAAGAGGTACCGAAAACAAATCCATTCGCCCGAACTATTACCAACACAGTCAACGGTGGCGGCGAAAAGATCTACTTCCCTCCATTGGGGCGAGCCGTCAGTATAAAGATAAAAATGCGCCAGCCCCACATTGGCCCGAAACCGCCGTCGCAACAACAACGCACAGACAACGTCGAGTCCCCAGCGCCCACGCCTCAAACAGTCATAACTGATGCACACGCTTCGCCGGGCCAACTCGTCGCCCGCGGACTGGTCGTGCCGAGCAAGCACTTTAGCCCAGGCCCTCTTGCATCTACCAGCCAGTCGTAGACCTTTCAAGTATCGCGTCGCACCGAGGTAATCAATAAGGATTCCCACTGGGAATGATTCCTATCCACGTCGAGCACCCCTCGGGCCAACCGCGTGCTCTTACTCGCTACCCCCAGTCGTTATGCGCGCAACAGCAAAAGAGAAATCACGCATTGCACTCATGTGTTTCTTGACGGTTGACATCGCAGGGCCCGTCAAGAGTATATGACTTTTGATGCTTAGCCCAGGCGCAAGCTGAATTAATTTCAAGTAGGGCCAACCAGGGACGATCAATTTTGCAAATTCTGTTCCAACGCATACTGTCTGGCATGTCCATACAGACGAACGATAAGCAACAATATCAGACCACATGCTCAATGCATCTCTGAAGCAAACCGCCCCACCATAAATTGGATTGCGAACCAACTTGTCGCACGTAAAACTAAGCGGATCAATGCGGCCGCGGGGCACGGGCAATTCATGTACAAGCGAAGCCACAACATCCGTTAGCTGATAACCCACAGCCCCTACAAATTCGTTTCGCGATGGCCACTGAAAAGAAACGGCGATGAAATCCTTGAGTCTAGCGTTGCCGTCGAACTTGCAAATGTTGTCTACAACGTCGCTGGCCGACAGAATTTCCCGCGCACCTAGTCCAACAGAGGTCGATGCCAGATCGTCGCATTGGCCCTGCAAGCGCTCAACCGCCGTGAAACCTGCCACGGCCGCAGTCGCACATATCTCATATACAACGTGACCATGCCGAAATTGCCCAACTCACCGCGAGGGCGGCCAGCACGTGAGAAATTATGCCGAGCATTCTCGGGATCGCCATCGATTGAATCACTGTCGGCCTCAATGGGCGCTTGTGGCGGTTCCTCGTGCCCCACGCGATCGACGTCCATGCTGAAACCAAAATGGCCATGGAAACGGAAGAAAACGTTGGAGGTGCAGACACGGAAAGCCCCCAAGATACATACGCAATGCACTGCAATCAATGCGAAGACCTTCGAACGACGCCTCTCTTGTGTATCTCACACGCGCAACGCAACTCCTGCAAATGTTATTGATGCGCGGCTTTGTTTGGGGGGGCGTGAACGAAGGCGACGTCATAATGAGCGTGCGCATTGCTGTTGCAAACGATGTTATGCTACTCTCACATTGTGCTGTCACATCAATGCTGATGCGTTGTGGCTCTATTGCGCAAAATACAACGCCACTTGGTGGTGGCCCCCTGCGTAGCAGGGGAAACCGTCGGTTGGCGTTTCGCCTAGCAGTGTCGGCAAGTAAGGCCCTACCAACGCAAGCGTGAATTCCTGGCGCTCCTCCCCGAATCTTCAACAGATCCTTTCCCTGGTTGCGCGGCGATTCTTCTGCGGTTCCAGCATTTCCGCCTTCGTTCCGAAAAGCGCCAGGCACTTGTCGGTCGAACGCCGTGCTCTACCGACGATATCGTTCCATGTTGCGTTGCGACCGCGCGACATCTGCGTTGCATCCACGCGGCTCCATTTGTCGCAACACACTGTCCGAATTGATGTCGGTTCCTCCTCGTCCCCCACTCCCTCGCACACCCGACTGCTGCCGTACCGCGTCGGTCCCCCCCATCCGCTTTCGTCGTCCGAGTTCTGCATGTGTTGCTCCCCATCTCGTCCGCGCTGTAAATATTGGCCGTCCAATCTTTACAAAACGCCGGCATGTCCTTTTTTCCCACAACTCGTATTCCGTGAGCGCCTCCTCTGACAGACTCCGCCTGCACCGTTCGCACTCGTTTCGCGGCATTACTTCCGCCTCCTGGTCATTCCGATCCACACCGTCCCAGTTTTGCACCTGCAACAGCTTCTTCGTGACAGCCACATGGCCTTCGTTGTACGGCGTCCCATCAAAAGGCCGACATATCAATCAATGTTCTCGCCGTCACACACGCGTGATGGCAACGTAATTCGACATCCGACTCACGCCGCGCCCTCTTTCAAGATTCGTTATGACTGCGCCCATTGCTCGTCCTTGCGCGGCGTGCGCTGTGACTGCCCACGGCGACGTCATCATGAATTGTGTCTTGTTCATTATGCGGCCACCCACACCGCGCGGAAATACGCCGAACATTGTGACCCTTTTGGGGGCTCGTCAAAAAGCGTGGGGCAAATCCGGGTTCTGGCAAACACGAGTTTTACGTTGGCCATCTGGTCGAGGCTCAACGGAAACCAGCAGTGCTGCTCTGCCTCGAGCGTGGCCACAGGACGTTTCCGCCTCCTCCTCCTCCTCCTCGTCCTCTTTCTCTTTGTCCTCTGTACTTATCCTCCTCTTCCTCCTCCTGCTCGTCTTCATCCTCGTCCTCGTCCTCGTCCTCCTCCTCGTCATCGTCCTCCTCCTCCTCCTCCTCCTCCTCCTCCTCCTCCCCCTCCTCCTCCTCCTCCTCTTCCTCCTCCTCCTCCTCCTCTTCCTCCTCCTCCTCACCGTTACCGGCAAACCCGAACCGCACGCTTCCCCGACGGGAGCCCACGAGGGCTCCGCGGAAGGCCGCCCCCCCCTCCGAGGCCGACGCCTCCGCACTGCACATTTTTCGCGGAGTTCACGAAGCCGCAACTGCAGGTCCACGAGTCGCCGTCGTCGGCCGGTGTCCTCGCGGCACCGACGCCTGGGCAGCGGATGGCAGGCTGGTCCCAACAGCATCGCAGCGGGGAGCCGGATCGGATCGGACTGTGCGTCGGATCGAACTGCACCGGCACGGAGTCGGGATCGAGTCTGATCGGCCGCGCCAAGATGCACAACGGCACCGTGCAACCATCCGGCGGCATCGGACCGTCGGAATTTCGGAATCGGATCGGATCGGATCGGTCAGAACCGGCATTTAATCCGATCGATCGGCTCGATATGGACCCTGGCAGGCGGCCCAAGAGGACGGGTAGGCTTCTGCAGAGAAGCTGTTTAGGGAATGGGTGGTTTAGGGCGTTTCCTCTTCCAACCGTCCGTATCCCTCTTCGGGGACATGTTTATGACTCCCACTACCCCATTCCCTGGACCTGGACGGCGGGGGGGTCGCGACCGAGTGGGGCGTCCAAGGAAGCCTCGGCGATAAGGCACATATCATTGATGTTGCGAACGATTTGGGCCAACGCTGGCCTCCTGGGGGGACGACGCTACATCCCACCAGCCCTCTGGGCGTAGGTGGTTAAGGAGTGTTCTCTTCCACCCCCCTTCTGCCCCTTCGGGATGGGTTTACCCCTCCCCCGTACCCACTCCCCTGGACCTGGACGGAGCCGGTCGCGAGCAATCAGGGCGTCCAGAACGGCCTCGGCGAGAAAGCCACAATCATGGATTTTCCAATGGTTTTGGCTCCATTTGGGCCTCTTGGGGGCCCCTCTTCTTTGACCGACGCTCCCCAAGATGGCCCCAAAAAGCGCCCAGGAGGCCCCAAGAGGCGCCCCCAAGTGGCCCCAAGAAGCCCCCCCGAGGCACCCAAGACGCCCAATAGCCTCCCACAACCGCCAAGAGACCCCCAAAACGTCCCAAGAGGCCACCAAAAAACGCCCAAGAGATATCTCAAGAGGCTCTGAGAGGCATCCAAGACACCTCAGGCCTTTTGCTTGCCCTCCTCCTCCTCCTCCTCCTCCTCCTCCTCCTCCTCCTCCTGCTCCTCCTTGCTCATCCTACTCCTTCTATTCCTCCTCCTCCTCCTCCTCCTCCTTCTCCTCCTCCTCCTCCTCCTCCTCTTCCTCCTCCTCCTCCTCCACCTCTTCCTCCCCCCTCATCATCCGATTCATCCTCCTTCTCCTCATCCATACATCCAGCCTCCTCCTCTTCCTCCTCCCTCCTTCGCACGGATCGGTCGTCTCCGTCTTTGCTCCCGCATTTCCCTGGTCACCTCAACTCGCCTGGACATCGTTTCTGTATGGGCAGGTGGGGATTTGTTGTTCGCAGCCGCAAGCGGGAGAACCGCGCGGCGTCGTAGTATCGTACGAGAGCCGATACGGCCAGGACCGAAGCCGGGCACGACAGCGGGCGAGCGCCGAAAATTGCAAGCGAGGCGGCGGGCAGCCAGCCGAGAGCGGCGACCTAACTTATACAGGGCCAGAGCCGAGGCCGAGCGCGGGCAGCGAACGGGCAGCGAAAATGGCAGCTACGTACCTGGCCTCAAACGCCGCTCAGAAGCCGGGGACAACCGAGTCGAGGCCCAACTGTGGCATCGACATCCTCGACGAACCTCACCACGTCTACGACATAGCGTATGCCAATGTGGCTGGTGGGGATACGCGAAGCGTCTAGAATTGGTACCCTCCCCTCTTTGATCGATCTTCTCTTTCAAGATGTCCCCAAGATGGCCCAAAGATAGCCCCAAGAGGGCCCCAAGAGGGCCACAGGAGGTGCCCAGGAGGCCCCGGGAGGCTCCCCAGACGCCCCAAAGAGGCTCCCAAGAAACCCCCAAGAGGCCCGAGAAGCTCCCGCAAGGCACCCAAAACGCTCCAAGAGGCGCCCAGGACCGCCAAGAGGTCCCCAATATGCCAGAAGAGGACTCCAAGAAGCTCTCAAGAGACATCCGAAAAGACCCTGAATGTCATCCAAGAGGCCTTCGGCCCTTCTGCTCGCCTGCCTCCTCCTCCTCCTCCTCATCATCATCATCATCATCATCCTCCTCCTCCTCCTCCGCCTCCTCCTCCCCCTTATGTTTTCCATTCCTCCTCGTCCCTCCTCCGTCCTCCCCCCCTCGCCCTCCTCCTCCTCCTCCTCCTCCGATTCCTCCTCCATCCTCCCCCTCTTTGGGCCCAAATTCTGAGTCCACTGTATATTCCTCCACATCCCTGATCAGGGCAACTCGCCTGGGCATCGGTTCTGGATGGGCTAGTGGGGTGGCGCGAAGCGTCTTGAATTGAAATGTGGAACTCCTGGACAGGCTTCGATTTGAGAAGATTACAAACTCACCTTGAGAGTAGAAAGAAAAACGGTGGAGAGAAATCAGCAAGTGTGCTGACCATGCAAGTATAGCTCAAAGTCGCTGGAATAATGAGGCGTCGCGTCGCATGGGGCACGCGACGTAACTGCGCGCATCCTGCACCCTTTTTTGTAAACGACTCGCCCTGGGCATCTTGAACGCAAGTGTTGCGCGCCGACGGTTCCGCTCCGACCCATCAGTATAGCGTCGGCAGTGCAAAAGCGATTGCAGCGAAGGGGAATAAGGAGGATAATTAGGTCGCTCGCACAAGAACCAAGAATACAGTCAACCCGTATCAGAAGGATGCACGGAGAGGATCCAAGGGCCTTGGAGGGCCATGTCGACACTTTGCGAGCGGGGCGCGGTCAACGAAAGTGGCCAGGGTACCCTTGGGAAGGTTGCCCACCCCTACCATGCGGGTTGACTGTAACGCCAAAGCGATTGCAGAGCGGGCAATGTGGTCGCTCGCGCAAGAAAAACAAAGCAGCAAAAGTTTGGGTTACCCGAAAGGGGGTCCAGCTGAAAGGGTGGTGCAATAGGTTTGGGGCAATTGTATTGCAAATGTGTTGCGCCAGAGAACTGTGTTGCATTGTACTGCAAGTAATGCATTGCACGCGAAAATCCAGTAATACATTTGCGCCCCCGAGAGTACTGCACGCCCCAAATGTATAGCCACCCCACAAATCGATTGCACCAAATCTACTGCACCACCCCCATTGTCGCTGGACCCCCTTTTGGGTCAAGCCGAGAAAGAACCCCCAAACAGGTGGACGCCCCGGACCGACCCCAGTCCCCGGGACACTCCCAGACATCTGGCTGTCCAGTTGTTTCGAGGCGTGGCCTCTGGAGGTCTGGCCCGCTCCCCCAGGGCCAGTTTGTCCTCCCGGTCCCGAGTCGTTTTCGACGACCCCAAGGCCGGCGCGAGGGCCCCCAGAGGCCTGAGGCCGAAAGCAGCCACAGACCAGCCGCTCCCATTCCGTGGAGCGTCGGATCCCGGGGCTCTCACGCCCAGCGCTGCCTCCACGCCGGCCCAGCACCCCGACCTCGTCGAAACCCAGCTGGGCCACGACCCTGGCCTCAAGTCGGGCATGTCCCCCTACAGGCGGTTTTTGGCCGAAAAATAAAAAGTAGTCGAAAAATGCATAAAATGGTAGAAAAAAAAAAGACCGACTAGTTCTCGACTATCTTTGACTATTCCTCCTGCAGACGGACACGCCCGACCTGACCCTGCCCCGCCGACCCGAGGCAGTTGGCCGCGGCAGCGGCTCGCTCCACGCCCAGCCGTGGGCCGACCCACCTGGGCCGACACGGGGCCCGGCCCTGGCCCAGCCCTGGAGCTGCCCACCAGCCTGGCCTGGGCGAGCAGATCCAAGACCGCGCTGGCGGCGTGCCTGGGTGAACGGCGCGGTTGGGAGCACTGTTTTCGTGACACCGAGCTCACGCAAAACACAACGCAGGAGATCACGACGCACCGTTTCCGACATGCCAAAATGTATGCGGATGTATCGAACGAAAACGGCACAGCGAGTTGTAGGAAAACACAAACCACGCGTTCCTACAATCGGTTTTCCCGGCCTGGCCTGGGCAAGTACTTGGGTGCCCCAAAAAGGAGTCCAGCTGCAAGGGGGTGGTGCAATAGATCTGGGGCAATTGTCTTGCAAATGTACTGCGCCGGAGAATTGTATCGCATTGTGTTGCGACGAACGTCTTGCACGCGAAAATCCAGCAACACGCTTGCGCCCCGGAAAGTATTGCACGCCCCATACGTATTGCAACCCCACACATCTACTGCACCAAACTGTTGCAACCACCCCCTTGTCGCTGGACCCCCTTTTGGGTAAACCCGAAAGTAGATGAGAAACAGGCGAACGAAAATGCGTCGTGTGTATGTTAGAGGCTTTTGGACCACAGCCCCAAGCACGGGGAGGGCATGGTCTGGAAGCCACAACAGACCTCCCGCGATCGCCACAAGTTCTCGCTCCTTCTGGGGGTCGGCGGGATGGCGTAAACCACTCGAACAACTGCGCCTCCGGGGCGCCCCCCGACGTTTCTCGAGCCGATGTGCAGCAGCCGAAAATAAGCTCGCGGATGAGGCGTGTGACCCGCGCTGGTGCGGCGCCTACTCATTGTCGTGTTTCGCATCTCTTGGCCTATCTAGTCACAATATCAAGATCTGTGAAAAATAGGTGCGCGCGGTCGCGCCCATTTCTCACATACGTATTTCTCACATACGAAACAGACATGAAAACTAAGCGCATAGGGGAAAACGATCCGACGGTGCACGGTTTCCCCCGGGGCCGCAGGCGACAGGAGGAGGAGGAGGAGGAGGAGGAGGCGGAGGAGGAGGTGGAGGAGGGGAGGGGGAAGAGGAGATGGAGGAGGAGGAGGCGGAGGAGGAGGAGGAGGAGGAGGGGGAGGGAGGAGGAGGAGGGGGAGGAGGAGGAGGAGGAGGAGGAGGAGGAGGAGGAGGAGGAGGAGGAGGAGGAGGAGGAGGAGGAGGAGGAGGAGGAGAGGAGGAGGACGGGTCGCCTAAGCCCGTCGGAGAATCCCTCAAGGGGAGCCCTTCGGAGAAACCCTCCAGGGGAGCCCTTCCCGGGGGGTCCGAAGCGATCCATCATGATGGTCCCAGGACCTAGACCGTGAGAGGTGCAGGGGATGGCCCTCTCTCCGAATCATAGGGAATAGCCGAAGTAGATTGGCAAGCCAAGAAGAGCGAGGCTCCAACCTTGAGTTCCTGCGGCGTACGTCTTGTTACGTATCGGCCACAAACGCCCACAGCTGGCCACACAACGCGGACGCCGAGCTCGTCTACGTAGATGTCTGTGCTGGTTGAACCATTCTTCGGAACTTGTGCAGCACATACACCGTACAGTCGGGGGCTTGACCTAAGGAACCCGAAATAAGGAACGAGGCCCCTTTTTGTCCATGAGTTAAACTTCGATTTCCGATCGAACACATAAGGAAAACCTGAGGCAAGCTGCGAAACACTTAAGGAACGCGGAGCCCCTCCCCAACGAAAAGGGTTCCTTCTTCAGGGCCCCGACTGTATAAGCTTACCTGCGCATAGCTTGAGATCAGCCTATACTCGCAAGCATCACAAAGATCAAGGGCGTCCATGAAAAACGAAATTAAGTGGAACCATCAGACAATATTCGATACTGTAAATTGAATGTGGGTAGGGTGAAAGTTTGTCCTCGTCCCGTTGCTACTCCCTGTTCCACCCCTTCTCCTCCCCTCCTCCTCCTCCTTCTCCTCCTCCTGCCCCTTTTCCAGCAACGGGTGCATTAAAACAACAGGTGTATGATGCATGGGTATAGCAGGCTGCGACGAAGCTGTGAGCCGTTCGAGCCCGCGTATGCCAGCAAGCTGGGAGACGAGGACCAGGATCGAGTGCGAGAGAGATAAAGGGATCATATTGCTGTGCACTGGGCCCCAGGACGAAGAGGCAGGACCTCATTGCTCACACGTGGTGCCCCAACCCTCTAACATGGGGAGACCAACAAGTACTGATACCGCTACTCCCCAGACCGTTCCCGGGGTGCGCTCTGACCAGGATTTCGAAGCGAATCCAGCGGTGGCGACGAGGGCCGCCCAGGAGGCCGGAAAATGGGAAAACGGGTGAAGGGTAGCGTTATTGGTACCGTTCCCTCCTCTGATGACGTACGATGCGAAACTCACGCGAAAACACTTCCAAGCAAGCCTGGCGATCCGCCGCAGCGCAGTCGGCTCGCTGAGGCGTGTTCGGATGCCTTCCAGCTCCCCAACATGGTTGCAGGGGCCCAGGGACACACAAATGAATACACACACAAATCCCAGGATTCCCTATAGTTTCTCAGATCTCCGGGGTTTTCATCATCCCCAACACTTCCCATTCCCATACTTTCCTGGGAATCGGCAAATAATTGTGTCTATGTGATTTTTCCCATCCTGCATGCTTCTGTGGCTTCCCCAGGTCCCCCCCCTCCGCACAGAAACTCGCCGACCATTGAGTGCTCCTCGTGGCCACAAGGCGGCCACCACCACACCGCCCCAAGACAGCTGCAAGATGTCCCAGAGGCCCGACCCGGCCAGGGTGCCCATGGCGTCCCCAAGAACCCAACATCTCGAGAGACCTCCAAAGAGGCCTTCACGCAGCTTTCCAGCGAGCTCAAACATAATGGACGGCATGTGATGCTCCACGTGCTGTTGCCTCCTACGCTTTCTTGCCTACGATAGCGTCGGCTAAACGGCAGAGATACCCAAAACGGCCCCCGAAGACCCCAATGAGCCCCAATACGGCAGGAAGGCATCAACCAAGAGAGCCCGAAGACAACACATGCAGGATAGCCCAGGACCTCATCCAAGACCCGCTCAAATGACCCCAAGATGGTTGTAATGAGCCTACTCGGGAGAGCTCGATTGAACGACAGAGCCCAAGCAAGACGCCCCGAGGGATTCCTGGAGTCCCGCGCCCCGCAGAATCATGAACCTACAGCATTGGGGGGCCCGTAGGGATGCCGCGAAACCCGAGCCCAGCCTGCAGAGCTCGGCAGTCCCATCATGCATGTGAGCGTTTTCTTATTCGGCGTTTCGACATTTGGCGGTAAGGGGGGGGGATCCTGGCTCCGGACATCTGCTTAGAGCGACTGTTTGCAGCAGTGCGTTCTATGAAGGAGGCTCCACCTACTCGAAACAGGCGCCAAAAACAGCCAAGATCTACTTCAGGGGGGGGAGGGGGGGGGGCGCGAGGGCCCGCGCCTATCGGCAAAACAAGGAAGGAGAAAACCATCACCATGCAGGTCGATGTTGCGCTGGCGGGTCTGCCGTAGGCAGCTGGGTAATTCCACCGGTGGGCCTCGGCAGGAGGGGCACCGGCCTCGGGCGGCTTGGTCACGGCCCGGGCGACATCCTGGCCTCTGCTGCTTGCAGCCCAGGGGGCCTCCTCCTGGGGAGAGGGTCGAAGTCTGCTAGAGATTTGGATTCCGCAAAGCAATGAAGCGGCAAAAGGAGGGCGAGGGGAAGAAAGGAGGGAGGGAGGAGGGACACGAGGAGGGGAAGCGGAGAGTGTTTGGCCTCACAAGACATCTGCAGAATCCATGATGCGCCACGGTCCGAAGGGGCTCGTCGCTGTCAAGCGCGCACTCGCGCCGGAGCTGAAAAAGACCAGGGCAGGGCGCAGCGCGCTGGGGCCAACGAATCGAGCATGCGACCCCCGAGCTCGGCCCAGAGCGCCGAGAGCCCACGGCTCAGCAGCGGCAGCTGTGGCGACCGTGGATTACCGAGGGGGCCCAGGGACACACACATAAAAACACACCCCAATCCCAGGATCCCCTATATGTTCTCATATTGTTTGGATTCTCTTCTTCCCCCCCGCTTCCCATATTTTCACGATATTCCCCGGGAGTCGACGATTCATTATGTCCGAATGGTTTTCCTTCCTGAATTACGAGGAAGGCGCACCAATCCACGGCCCGCGGCGCCGTGTCGTCCCGCACCGCACGCAGCCACAGGGCGCCCAGATGTGGTCCCCGACCCGAGCGCCCCCCGAGCCCCGGGTCCAGACGCGGAGCAGAAGGTCGACGGCGAGCCCGGAGGGGGGGAAGTGAGACGGAGAAGGCCTTTTCAGGAGGCTCGGAGGTCCCCCCCTGGGCCTCCTGAGAAGTGTTCCAAGCCCCCTGCCCTGAAGACACTGGCAATGACTTCTCAGAAGGCGCGAGGGCCTCTGAGAAGCCCCGCTGCCTTCTGAGAAGCCCTTATCCTTCTCACTCCCCCCCCCGCTCGCCGCCGAGGAGGAAAACGCGGCCTCAGACCGCCTACCAGACCACCCAAACCCAACCCGAAGGCCCGAATTTCGGCTCGGGGGGGCACGGGCTTCGTATGTGTCTTCTCTGTGTCCCTCACCCCCCCCACTGGAAGTGGAGGGCAAGTCGCTGCCTTCGGGTTGGGCTGGGCTGCCTTGGTGGGCGGTGAACTTCGTGCGCCGAGCCACGGGGCCCCAGGGCCACACCGGCCCGGCCGCCGGACCGCCTCGGCCGCCCCGGGCGGCACAGGTCCAGCGGGCCCCCCTGGCCTCCGACCACGAGGCCGCGAGATCCCACAGAGGGCCTGGGAGGAGGAGGAGGAGGAGGAGGAGGAGGAGGAGGAAGAGGAGGAGGAGGAGGAGGAAGAGGCGGAGGAGGAGGAGGAGGAGGAGGAGGAGGAGGAGGCGGAGGCGGAGGCGGAGGCGGAGGCGGAGGAGGGTAATCTCCAGGCCGTCCGACTGCGCCGCGGCATCTGGAAGCGAGCGCAGGGGCCCGCGCAGACTCGAAGAAGAATCAACGCCATGATCAGAAACTGCTGGCGTCAGGTCGGGCATGTCCTCCAGCAGGCGTTTTTTTTTTATCATATATAAAAAAATGTAGCCAAAACATATGCTGAAATCCGCCGACCTTGTCGGCGTGTGTGAGGGGCTTGTCCGTTCAAGTCGGCATCTCCGTCATTCGTTGGTCGTCGTCTCTGTCGTCCCCTTTCCCTGCCTCCCCCTTGCCCTGTGCTCGTCGAAGCTCCCCCCTTTCCCAGGGACCTTCTCAGCGCGCCAGCCAAAGCGACGTTGAGCAACGTCGTAATTGAGTCGAAGGGAAGCCCCTTCCCTTCGATCCCTCCCCCGCCAGGGGGGGGGGTGGTAGGGGGGGTCCGAGGGGGGGGTCAGATACCCCGGGGGAGTCCCGGAGCCCAAACAAGTCCCAAGTCTGGCCAAGAGTGCCCCAAGAGGCCCCAAAGACAGTCCAAGAGAACCCCGAATTGCTGAACGATCCGTCCAAGACGCCTTGACGGCCTCCAGACGGTCCAAGAGGCTTGCAAAGCGCCCCAAGAGGCCTCCAGGAGCTTCCCCACGGGAGCCCCAAGAGGGAAAAGTCATGGATTTCCCGTACGTTTTTGACAGATTTGGGCGTTTTTGCCTCTTTCGCTTCCCGACGCGCCAAGACGGCCCAAGAGGCCCCCAAGATCGCCCCGAGATGGCCCCAGAGGCCCCCAAAAGGGTCCCCTCACAGCCGAAGAGGGTCCCAAGACGGCCCAAGACGCCTCCAAGACGGCCCAAGAGGCCCCCAAGACGGTTCCAGGAAAGTGCCCAGACGGAGGACCCGAACGGACATTTCGAGCCTTCGACCCCAAGAGGCTCACAGGAGGCCCCAAGAAGTTCCCCAGAGGCCACAAGAGGCCCAGAAGAGGTCCCCAGGAAACCCGAGGAGGCCCCCAAGAGGCTCCCAAGAGGCCCCCAAAAGTCCCCCAAGAAGCCCAACAATTCCTACATATTCCTACCCAGAGGCCCCCGAGAGACTCCCGAAGAGATTCCACGAACCAGCCCTGAGGATTCTGGCCCACGTCAGCGTCGTCGTCAATGCCGCCGCCGCCGTTGTCGTCGTCGTCATCGTCGTCGTCGTCGTCGGCGTCGTCGTCGTTCTCTTCTCGTCTCCCTTCAGAGTCGGCGGCACCGGCCGTAAGGCCTTCGCAATAGTCAAAAGGTAATCAAAGCATCGTCCCCAGACTATGCTTTTACTATTTTTCAATATTCCTCCTGTAGAGGGACACGCCCGACTTAATGTTGGCGCTCGGCGCCGCCCCTGGCGCGCTCTGGGCGCCTGAATGGGGGGGTCCAGCGCAGATCCAAGAAATCCGCGCGGAGCGCCAAAAGATTATGTTTGTGGCGTTTCTTGCTATTTTTCTGTTTAATATGCGTCTTCTTCTGTTCCTTCTTATCATTATTCTTCTTCTGTCATTCTACGGACGTTGGCGAGGATCCCCCGCTGGGAACCCCTCAAGGACTGGGCGCAGACACACTTTTTGGCACGACGCCCTTCCCTGCACAAGCATGCAACACAGCGCCACGGATGATAAGTTCAGAACCGTGTCGGGACGGGGAATTCTGCAGCCGACACCTGGCCTGACCCCGAACGTGCACTGCACCGTAAGCGGGATCTGGACCATGTTGCTACACATGTGGCGGCATCTTGTCGCACCTTGTGCGAGCGAACAGTGGAAACGAAGCAAACTTGGCATCGGCGTGCCAGAGCCCGCATAGCGAACGCGAGGTCCTGCTTACTCGCTGCCCCCGTGGCTTGGGGACGGAGTCGGGAAGGAACTATGTTGCCTCTAAGCCCAAGGCGGCTTCTCTCGCGCTGGCAACATATGCCTCTTGTGGGGTGCCTCTTGGAGCTGCAGGCTGGCCTGGCCAGGTCCGCGGCGACCCAGGAACGGTCGCCAGGAGCACTGGCCAGGCGCACCCCCCCCGAAGGGAAGTGGATTGCAGCAGGCACGTAAAAAATGGGTGTGGGGGGCGGGAGCGCTAGACCCCGACCCTTGGAACAGGGCGCCTGCGCGCGAACCGAGTCCAGCAAAACGCACGAGGAAACGAACGCGGAAGACGAACCAAGACCCGCGACCCCGCAGAAGCCCCTTTCCCCGAGCGCACAGCCCCCTAAGAAAGGACGCCTTCTGCTTACTCGCTGCCCCCGTGGCTTGGGGACGGAGTCGGGAAGGAACTATTTTGCCTCTAAGCCCAAGGCGGCTTCTCTCGTGCTGGCAACATATGCCTCTTGTGGGGTGCCGCTTGGAGCTGCAGGCCGGCCTGGCCAGGTCCGCGGCGACCCAGGAACGGTCGCCAGGAATACTGGCCAGGCGCAACCCCGAGGAGGCAAGTTTTTACAAGCTCCCAGTGAGGGACCTCCACAGAGGCATTGGTGAAACGCGCGCCTGGCGATGAGTGACGGCTGGGACCGCCGTGCCACTCGAAGCTGTAGACACGGCGCGTAGCAGCTGATCGCACCGTTCTGAATCTGAGAACCGGGCGTAAAAGGCTCGCATGGTTTCTGGGGCTGACCAGCTGCCCTGAGCCTGCACTAACTCTTCCGGCAAAGAGCACGCTGTTTTTACCAGTGGGCGCCACCTTTGCGCAGGGAGTGCGTTCCCACTGCAGCAGTCGGACCCTTGGAACAGGGCGCCTGCGCGCGAACCGAGTCCAGCAAAACGCACGAGGAAACGAACGCGGAAGACGAACCAAGACCCGCGACCCCGCAGAAGCCCCTTTCCCCGAGTGCACAGCCCCCTAAGAAAGGACGCCTTCTTACTTTGTGCCTTTCGCTCTTATAAACTATTTGGTCTACCTCGCAACTCTGGGCACTCATAATGCATAAATCGCGAAGGGGCAGGAGCGTGGCAGGCGCTAAAGTGAGAGCGTCATTCCAGTCGGCATAAGACCTCCCAAGCACTAAGACAGGCGCAACAAAGATAGGAAACCCGTGGGGGGAACACACTATGCGGGAGCGACTGGCGGTCGCGCCAAAGCCGATCAGGGGAGAGAGGACAATAAATTGGAGAGAGCGTGATCCACAGCCGCTTTACTGTGGAAAATTCCCCCCCTCTCCCTCCGGAACCCGGGGGTCCCCCCCCCCTCCGAAAATCCCCCCCCCTGATGGACCCCCCCCCCACCCCTCCCCTTCCCTGGCAAGACCCCCCTCCTCCTCTAACCCACCCACCCCCCTCCCCCTCGAAAACCGGGGGGGGGTCACTACCGGTTGGACCCCCCCCCCTCGAAAACCGGAGGGGGGTCACTACCCGTTCGAACCCTTCCCCTCCCCCCCCTCACCGCCAGCAAACGACTCCCGGTCCCTACCACCGTCTGCACCACATCCCCCACTGTTGTTCCCAGCACCACTGTCTTCACCACCACTGTCCCCAAAGGTTCCACCACCGTCCCTACTGTCTCCACCAATGCCCCCACCACTGTCGCACTGTCCCCACTGTCCCCACCTCTGTTCCCACCACGGTTCCACTCTCCCCCCCGTCTCCACGGCCCCATCCACTGCCCGACTATCCCCACTGTCCCCACTGTCCCACTGACTCCTCCGCTGTCCCACTGAGCTGTCCCACTGTTCCCACCACTGTCCCCACTGTTCCCACCACTGTCCTCACTGTACCTCTTTCCCATTGTCCCACCGCCGTCCTCGCCACCGCCTTCACCACTGTCCCCACCACTACTGTACCCTCCACTGTCCCACTGTTTCCACCACATTCCCACTGTCCCCACACCACTGTCCCCACCACCACCGTCCCCACCACTGTCCCACTGTCCCCACTGTTCCCGCCATTTTCCTCACCACTGTCCCCACCACTACCGTCCCACCAGGAATTTCGCTCGCGCCACGTTCCCCCCGTAGCCTCACTGCCACCTGGCATCGGCGGCGAGAGAGGGGGGAAAAGAGAAGGAGAAGGCCTTCTCAGAAGGCGGCGGGACTCCTCAGAAACCCTCGCACCCTCGCGCCCTCTGAGAAGTTTCTGTGGTTTCTGTGCCTTCGGGGGAGGCACAGGGAACTCCTCAAAGGCTGGAGGACGTCCGAGCCTTGTGACAAGGCCCGCCCCTTCTCGCTTCCCCCCCAGGCTCGCCGCCGACGGTCACCACTCCTCCTCCTCCCAGACCCACTTCGGCCACCGTGGCACAGGCCAGAAGCATCCCCGCCCCGAGGTCCTCCAAGTCCATCCCGAAGCGCCCCACGCTCGACCCCCAACAGCCTATCACTGCCCACCGCCTTTTCACCAGGCCGGATCGAGACGCCCGCCGTCCTGCGCCGGATTGGGATCGCCACTGCTTTCCCGTGCGCTCGCACACTCGTGGCCTGTCCTCCACAAACAGTGTTGATCAGCCGATTGGCGAAGCCGCACTCGCAGACCCACTTGTCTGGATCGACGGAGGCGCCTCCAGAACAAACATAACGAAGCAGTGGGAATAGGCTTCCGTCCTGCAAGAAGATGAGACACAAGGATGAGATGGCAACGAGCGCGCAGAAGACGAAAACCGTTCTGACCAGTACATCGCAGACAATCTGGCGTTCATGGGAGCTGGCGGAATACTTCGCTAACGCGATTGGGTTGGATTCATGGTAGCGGGCAAATAAGTTGACAAAGCTAGAAAACCGGCCAACCAGCACGTCCGAAGAAATGTCTCTCGATAACAAATGAGGTTCAAATTGGGTACGTAGACGACAAGACATTCCAATACATGCGTTGAGCGAGAAAAGCGATGGCGAGGAGGTCGTTCCCCTGGCATACCACTGAACATTGAGCTTAGCACCTGCCTCGACGACTCGTCCTTCAGACCCACTGCACCTTCACCACTTCGCAAGAGGCCCGTCCTCATAGCCGACTCTGAATGCTAGCTGCCCTTCACAGGCAGAAATGAGCGCCAGGGGGAAAACATCTGATACAAGGGAAATGCATAAGCGTAAACTTTCGAAGTCCGCGCGGATTTCCCGGATCGGCGCTGGGACACCCTGGTGCCGCCTCTGGCGCCGCCCCTGGCGCCAGGGTGCTATCACGGGGGGGGGGCGCCGATCCAAGACAACCGCGCAGATTTCTGAAAGTGAGCGTTTTTTTAATGGGCGTTTCGACATTGGGCGGAAGGGGGGCGGGGAGGGTGGGGGGGTCCGGCTCCGGACCTCTGCCTAATGCAACTGTTTGCAGAAGTGCGTCCTATGGGGCAAACGCCACCTGCTCGAAACAGGCGCCAAGAAAGCCAAGATCTACTCCAAGGGTGGGGGACGAGTGCCCGCGCCGATTTGCACAACCAGGAAAAAGAAAACGATCACCAAACTCAGATTAATTCGGGGGCAGGCAAACATGGATTAGCGATCCATGGATTTGGCGCGCGGTCGCCACATCCATGGATCGGGGGAGGTGCCCTCCCCCAAATGCGGCCAGGGCCGCATCGCTCGGCGGCGGAAATCCGCGATTTCCAATGGAAACGGGACCCGTCGCTAATCCACGAACCTTTTGATCCACGTTTGCGATCGCCGGATTTATGCCCTGCGCTGACGCGCAACGCTCCCCACGGGGCCCTCGCGCAAGTCCTGCTGGGGTTGTGGGAAGGCCACGCCGCGAGGTGCCACTGCCCCTCTCCCTTCCCCCTCCGTGGCCCCTCCCCTCCGCGGTTTCGATCCTGGATCCTCGGCCTCCTCTTCGATCCCACTCTTTCTCGTCCTCTCCGACCTCGATCCTCGATCTTCCTCCCCTCCTAAATAATCCCTTCCTCCTCCCCCACCTCCTCCTCCTCCTCCTCCTCCTCCTCCTCCTCCTCCTCCTCTTCCTCCTCCTCCTCGATCCCCCTCCTCGATCCCCCTCCTCCTCTTTTGAGTGGGCGGCTACGCGGGCGGGCCCCCAGACCACGCACAAGCTGGCCGCAGTACCTTTTTTCCCGAGCGACGGTCGAAGAGATATCAGTGTCAAAGGGCTCAACTGAATCAGAACCACTCCCGAGTGGAGATCGCATAAGGTCAGGGATCTAACAGACGTCAGAGCTCCTTCGTGATCAAACCCGCGCAGGGATCGCGCCCCTCCAGGATGCGGTCACGATGACGGCGCCTACTCTTGAGAGCACGCACCTCTTTGCGCAATGGGCCATCGCACTCCCGAAACAGCCTGCATGGCCACTAAAACCGTGAGACGCGGCCGGAATGAGGGGGCAGATCGGGCGCTCCAGGTCCCGCAACCGTCCTCCAGCTCCGCCGCCTGCAGTAGCCAGCGCACGACATGTGCCGCCCGCACAGGCCCTGACCTGGGGGGTCCCTCGGGAGCAAAAGCCCAGGGAACCCCGAACAGCGCAGCCCATCCGTCGTCTCATCTCTGCCCCTGGAAAGAATCAGAGGGATGGGCCGCCTAGCCCCACGAGGCTTCGCACGCCGCTCACGCCGCCGCCGCCCCCTCAGCCGCGCGCGTGCACAGCGCCCTCGCACTTCTTCCGCGGCTGTGCGAGGAGGCCTCTTTCGGGCTCCATGTGCAAGCGAAACTTCTGCTCGACCTTCTCATACTGCGCGGTATTGTGCTGGACCCATCATTGCTCAGCTTGCTGGCATCACGTTGGGCATGCTCTCTCCTCGCCCGCCTGCGCACCGACTTGCACATAGGCACCTGGACGGGCTCGGGGAGGCTGGCCTCTAAAAATTCGGCCTTGTCCTGATGCTTCGCATACTGCAATCGTCCAAACTCGAGGTGGAGCGTCACGAGCTCCTCGAGCTGCTCCTAGCCTCCTCGAAGACTTCACGGCACGTCCATGGAGGCCAGGCGGTCGATGGGCACGTCTATCTCGATCCATCGCTGGAGCTTCTCCACGGGCTCCTCCGACTCGGCCTCCATGTCCAGCGCCATGGCAGAGTCCTCCGAAGGGCGGCCGCTCGCCGCTGCCCCCTCGTGCTCGCGCTCCCCGCTCCCCAGCGTCATCAGGAGGCCCGCCGCCGTGGGCCATCCTGCGACCACCGCGGGCTTCACGTCAACGCTGGAGCCGTGAACCTCGTCCTCGAACTTGCACTTGGCCGAGGGCGCACCCTGGTCCAACGCATGCCGCTTCTCGTCGAAGTCGCCGCCATACTCGACCGACCGGGCAACTGGCACGCCCGCGACATGCGCCGACTCCGACACCGCGGGCTCCGACTCGGGCTGCACGCGGAGCCCCTCGGAGTGAACGGCCACCGCCCTGTCGTCCAGCTCCACTTCCTGGATCGGGTCGTAGCTCCGCACCTCGTCGTGCCCCTCGCTCGCGGAAGCCTCAAGGAGCACCTCGGTCGCCCCGAAGGCGCCGCTGAAGAGGCCGATACGGAGCTCCCCGCAGTCAAAGGCCCAGACTGCGGCTAGGCGAGGGCGAGGCTCATGATCCCCAGGCAATGGGTTGCACGATGTCTGACCCAGTTGCCCGTGAACATCGCCTCCTCCGCGTCGGCGACGGCACCCCGGTCGCCCAGCAGCCGCGCGGCTGCCGCCACCTCCCCCAAGGACGAGAAGCGGCAGTCCAGGCGGTCGCTCAGACGCCAGTGCTCCGCAGTGGCGCAGCAGAGGCTCTTCATGCGCAGGGCGAGCGCCTCAGCCCGCGCGCAGCCCAGCTCGGCCTGCCGCCGTCGGCGGAGCCGACGAGCCAGCGTCCGCGCGCTGGCCGCCGCCCAGGCACGGGCCTCCATCGCTGGCCGCTCGCGCGCCGCGACGCGGGCGTCCGCGGCGCGCGCGCGACGGCCCCGCGAAGCGCGGCTCGTTTGCGCCAAGATGGCTCGAGGCAGAATGGAACGGGGAGGAAGGAGCACGAGGAGGGGGAGGACGAGGAAGGGGGGGGAGGGAGGAAACGGCGCGCTCCCGACGAGCGGCCTGGACGCGCACGCGGCCCGACCGCCAATGCGCACGGGTGGCCATGCGGAGGGCGCTCCGTAACACCACTCGCATTGCCACGAAGGTCGCGACACGCCCCGGAACGAGGAGGAGGAGGAAGAGGAGGAAGGAGAGGAAAATCGGCGGCGCGCAGGACCCAGACCCAATTTGTGGGCCCGGGATCGGGCGAGAGCCCCACCTGCACGACATACAACGCACCCCGCACCCTCCACCACGCCATGCTCACGCATGGGAGGCGGGTTGGCCCGAGAGGGGGGGCGGGGTCAGAGCCACGGGCGGCATCCGAGGCCGAACTCCGTGAGACGCCGAACGCACCCTCTCCCTTTTGGGCAAGGCCTTGGACCGTCGACGCACCCGCCCAGACCGAAGCGAAACGGGCAGCAGCTTTCACGAGACGGGTGCTTTCGCAGTACAGACACTGGCCTCCGCCCCGCAGCTCAAACCGATGGCCAGGCCCACGCGCGCGGACCACGGTTGGGCGGCGACTCCGCCTCCCATCTCCGAAACGGACCGATCGGAGGGGAGGAGAAAGGGAGGCGGTGGGAGGGGGGGGAGGGAGGAAGGAAACTGCGACAAATCTGAATGTCCGCCTGTTTAGCTAACAGGCGGTCCACGTCTGTTCCATTTCCCAGCATGGAGGGCGTTGGGCTCGACCCTTTCCCTCGCGCGAGTGCCCGCCGCCTCATGCATGACCGCTGTAAAGCACTCATGTGGGACTCACATTCTTGGCAACGGGCGCAAGGACCCCCTCTGGTCCCAAATCCTGGCCATCCAAGGCGTCCCAGATTAAGCGCCAGAGGTGGGACGTAATCTGACCAGAGGCAACACAGAGGTCTCTCCCTTTGAGAAGCCCGTCGGCTGTGTGATTACTGACAATGGTGAGTCCCTGGATGCCGGCAGAATTGCTGACGGCCTGGAAGACGGCCCACAGCTCACAAACCAGAGCCGTCGGGCGGGGAAAAGGGGCGAGCCCGAGAATCAACCGAGGCTCAGTTTTACGCCCATCATCCCAAGACGCCGCCGCAAAACCTCCGACATGAAACTTATTGCATGACTTGATTTAACACTGCCGCCCGTCGCCACCCAACCGACCAAATGCAATTGCACAATATCACGGGTACCATGTTTTGTTCTGGATCGACCAGACGATCGCGCACAGCGGCGCGTGCGTCCGCCTGACACTTGCAGTACCCATGCATCAACGAAGCTCGCGCCTCCTCGCACTCCAGGCAGATGAGGGATTCCCACCTGGCCCTTCCCCCCTCTCGAAGCAGTGCGCCTGGGACGGGTAGCCTCCAGGCACTACGGTCCTCATGCAGTTGATGCGGTGGCGCGCCCAGACCTGGTCGTCTCTCTTTGGTTTCACGACCTGCTGGATTGGGAGAAGCCAAGGTCACGGCCTCAAGGAAACCCTATCCTACTGGACTTGGGCCCCGTCGAAAAGCGTCCTCTACTTGATGACCCTCCCGGCCTCCCTGATGAGCTCCAGTGACGCAACCTCCCGACTGTCGATGGTGGGGTCGTCCTCGTTTCGCTTGATGTGCCAGAGGCCGATCATCCTCCAGCGTCCTCCTTTCCTCTCTCCTCCCTCCTCTTCCTGCTCCTCCTGCTCCTCCTGCTCCTCCTGCTCCTCCTCCTCCTCCTGCTTCTCCTCCTCTCCTCCTCCTCCTCCTTCTCCTCCTCCTCCTCCTCCTCCTCCTTCTCATCATCATCATCATCATCATCATCATCATCATCATCATCATCATCATCATCATCATCATCATCATCATCATCATCATCATCATCATCATCATCATCATCATCATCACCATCACATCATCATCATCGCATCATCAGCATCATCATCATCATCATCAGCATCAGCATCAGCATCAGCATCAGCATCAGCGCCATCGTCATCGTCATCGTCATCATCATCATCATCATCAGCAGCAGCAGCAGCAGCATCAGCATCATCATCATCATCATCATCATCATCACCATCAGCATCATCATCATCATCAGCATCATCATCATAATCATCATCATCGTCAGCATCATAATCATCACCATCATCATCATCAGCATCATCATCATCAGCATCAGCATCAGCATCAGCGGCATCGTCATCATCCTCATCATCATCATCAGCAGCAGCAGCAGCAGCGGCAGCATCATTATCATCATCAGCATCATCATCATCATCATCATCATCATCAGCATCATCATCACCATCATCATCAGCA